AATAGCGGGGCTACGGACTACAGTCACAGACTTGGGGACTAGAGTTGATGCCTTGGCCACCCAAAATGCTAAATCAGAGAAGAAAATCATGGGCTGGTTGCGTGCGTTGGGGAGAGCGTGTCACTTAGACCCCGGTACAGTCTCTGATCAAGACTAATCTTCTAGGGAAGTTCCTTTGCCTCGCATTACTTTCTATTTTATGACATGAGGACATGATATTTTTTAAGTGTGGGGTGGGGGTTACTTCGTTGGTATGTTGTGTATATATAGGAATGTAGCTTGATTCTAGTTTGATTGTAGTCTTTGGTTAATTTGATTGTAGTCGTTGGTTAGTTTGATTTTTGTTTTTGATTAGTAGTCTAAATGTGTTCGACTTGTCCCGACGACGGATATCACTCGACGGGTTTCTTGAGGGTCTAAGTCGATATATAAAAAAAAGATTTTCTTTTGTAGGTAGTGTATCAATTACCCCTTAGTTTTTCTTTTGACCGCAATTCTTTTCCAAGGGTTTTTGTTTGAACCGGGTTAGTTAGTTTTTTATTTTTATTTTTATTTTTTTTAATTAGGTACTTGTGGGATAAGGGCTGATATGGAAGGAGGATCCCTTATCGTCATTATGCCTTGAATACAGTAGATACTCTAGTGTGACACTTAGGCTCAGTTGTTGATTCTTATTAGAGTGCCTTAAATTGTATGTTCTTAATTTGGCTTAAGTACTCTGACTAGAGCGTTTTGATTATCCAATCTGGGGTGAGTCATGTGCCATGTGTGTGTGAGGATTGTTGTATTCTGTGCACTGCATTGGATGCCTAGAGCTTGCCCTGTGTGTTTGCAAAGCGAAATAGTAGTTTTTCAGACTTGGAAATGATATAGGCGTTTCTTTGTTAAACCAGGTATATATATTTTACCCGCCTAATTGTTATGTATCGTAGTTAACCCCTTTGAGCCTGTAATCCTGTTTATTTGGCAACCACATTACAAGCCTTACCCATTTGTTTGAATTAATCATCTATTTGAACCCATGACCTCTCATGAGCACTTGAATTGTTATGAACTTTGTAAAAGTTAAAGTGTGGGGTGGTTGGTTTGGCTTTTGAGTGGAACTAATGAAATAAGGAGAAAGGTGCACTATTTTGAACAAGTAAGAGCCACTTGAAGTGAAAGAGAAAGACAATAATAGTGTATTATTGTGAAAAGAAAAAAAAATCCTTGACAAGGGGTGGCTCTTGATGTAATTGTGCTTAAAGAAGAATGGAGTTAATATATAGTGATGTGAAGGTGGAGTTATGGTTTGACATAGGTGTGGGGTTTTAAATGATAAAGTTCATGTATTAAAGTGCTTAGGGAGGTGTAGTCACTCTTATACCTAAATGTATCCTACCCGTCCCGCAGCCTACATTACAACCAAATGAAGTCCTAATTGATCCTAGACTGAATGAGCTCGAATTAGTGGAGTAGTACACTACGGGCAAGCCTATGGTGCATTTTTTGTGGCATATGAACGTTCTTTTTGAGAGTGAGTGAATTCTTTCTATCTTGAGTTCCTAATTGTTCTTAAATATTATTGTGTGTGGAACCACACTCATTTGTCATGAAAGGGCACTTGATTCATGAAGGAAAGGTGAGTCTTAACCTCTGCGTTAGAATAAGTGAGTAAAGTTAGGAATATTGCGTGGCATGGGAGAGTCAGCTCTTGAGGCAAAGATGTTACACTACTGGGCTCAATTCCTGTAAAATGTTCTTGGTGTGACGAGTTAGGGGAGTCACTCAGTGAAGTTAGGCCGTTGTAGAGTGTGGTTTGATTGCTCGAGGACGAGCAAGGATTTAAGTGTGGGGTGTTGATAATAGATGATAATCATGCAAGTTAGCTAATATTTGCACTCTAATTTGGCCGCACTTTACCTATGTTTGATTGTAAAAGATAACAAAATGCTCTAATTACGAGTTTATTGCTTTGCAGGAGCCACTCCGAGCTAGGAGAAAGCTAAAAGAGTGTTTTGGAGTCAATATGGAGCATGGAAGGCCAATCAGAGGATAACACAATCAAAAAGGAGAAGAAAGAGCAAGGATCAAATCCGCGTCCAGGTCCGCGGTCAATCCGCGGCCGCGGACAGAATTTATGTCAAATCCGCGGTCCATCCGCGGCCGCGGACGGGGTGCTCGGAGCCAAGCATTGCAAGGTAAATTGTGTAATTTCTAGGATGACTCTCCTTGACCTATAAGAAGCCCAGCTCGCCCAAATAGAGGATATCGAGGTTTTTGAAGGCAAGAATAGGCAAGAAGCAAGGCGGAAGACTCGGCATAGAGTTTTTACCTTTCCTCTTCTTGTTTTTATCACTGAAGATGAATTATATCGTTATGATTGTGAAAACGACTATGCGTAGCTAAACTTCTAATCTAGTGTTTAGATGGAACCTTTTGGAGGATGAATTTCGCATTATGTTAATATAGAGTTGCCCTAATATTTTCTCTGTTTGTTCAACTATATTGTGAATGTTGTTGATTGAAGGGCCCTCAATCGGCTGTGCCTATTTAGTATGCATTACTCAGGAGAGAGTGTATATTTAGGTAGTTGTTGAACAACACCACTCCTAACGTATATGAGGGATCAATACGAAGGGTTTAAAGGTGGGATTAGGGATAACGAAACCTTGGGTGCGATCTAAGTGAGTTGTAACTAAGGCCAGTTAGCGTAATTCAGGAGAATTTGTCTAGTATATTGTTGTAATTACTCGGGAGAGAGTTACGACAGTCAGAGTGCTCATGATCGATAGAGAAGACTTAGGCAAATTTATAGCAACATAGCGGAAAGGATTCCGACAAGAGGGGAAATCAGAACCTTAGACCATTCTCATTCTTACTTACAATCAATTTATAGCTAGTTCTTAATTACTGCATTTTTATTACGTAATATTTAGTTAATAAACACCCAATTTGTTACTCAAATATCTCAGAAGATTGAATACGTGAATTTTTGTGAGTCCAATAGCTGTGATTGATAGGTTAATTTCCTGTGGGATTCGACTCCGGACTTGTTAACCGGAATATATTTGCAGCGACGGCTTTTTCCTTTTTATAAGGCATAGTTGAGCGTGATCCGCCATATATAATTTACCAATTATATACAAATTAGTTTTAAATGAGTATCCCTTTACATTAGGAATTGAATAAGGAATTAGTTATTTCCATCCATGCTCTCTCTCTCTCTCTCCTGCACTCTCTCACTCACTCTCTCTCTCTCTCTCCTGCTCTCTCTCTCTCTCTCTCATGCTTTGTTCTTTCCCCAATTTTTCTTCCTTTGATGTTCTCTATTTTTTATCCTTTATTGTTGTATATATTTTTAATGGAATTCATCAATTGATTTCACTCGGTTTTCTATAGAGTTTTAGCTTAGCAATTTCCTTTCATGTTGCACAATTGGTGTTCAAATTGAAGTTGTCAATCAATAAAATTTGAAGGTGTTTGACTCTCCACCATTGACAGCCATTAAAAAGCTTTGAAGCTTTGAATTCGAATTTAGATTTTCAAAAACTATTATTTGTTTGGATTGAGTGTTGTTGCAAATAACTGGGAATATTGTTTGGAGTTTACATCTCAATTTTAAGGGTGTTTGGTGAAGATTATACTTGATTTTGGCTGAATTTTAGATTGAAACTCGAAGAAGAAGAAGAACACCTGACATACAATATACTTACGAAATTATATTAAAGTTGCATTATAATTGTATGTAAATTCTATTTAAGTTGCATACTATTATAGTTATATATTTTTGTTATTTAAATGTTGTATAAAAGTTAAAAAATAGTTGTATGAAATTTGTATTTAAGTTATAAATACTATTTTTTTTTACATAAAGTTGTTGATATGTATCAAAATTGTATAAAAAGATTTTGATTGGAACTTTAGAGAGGAAGAACACACTACGTGCAAAATATATACAAATCTTTTACAAAATACATACAGAAGATATATTGTATAAAATTTGTATGAAAATTATATTTAAATTGTATGATGTTGTAGTTGTATTTAATTGGGTAAAAATGATATATGAAAGTTGTAGATAAGTTATAAATAAGTTGTACATTATATAGTTAGTTGTATAAAATTTATTTTTAGTTTATATGTTGTTGTAGATGTATCAAAATTTGTATGAAATTTATTTTTAATTTGTATACTGATGTACCATAATAATTTATCATCATCAAGTTTATATTGCTGTTGCTGCTGGTGCTACATCGACAGATATGAAGGCGTTGAACTTTTTACTTAAATTTCGAGTTTGTCTTTGATCAAAAATTTAAGTCTTGCCCCCCACCCCCGCACAACGCCACATGGGTGAAATGACTAAAACAAATTAGTGAAAAATAAAAACGCTACGAACTACAGAATTATCAGTGGCAAATAACACCCCATCTAATAAAAAATACGAAATGCAATGTATTCCAATAAATTCTAACATTCCTAAAATAATAAGTTGTACGTAATAGTACTTAGCAATCAATATTGATAAATTTTCAGTCCTCCCATCAATTATCATCCCAGTTCATGGCATTATCATCGTCATCCCTACCACCGGAATCTCTGTTTATCCCTCAAATTGGATGTGCATTCTTCTATCCATTAAATACTCTTAGAAAAGTAACCTCATTAATAAATGAAGGAATTTTTAAAATAGGGAAAGAGAAGAGGAGAGAAAAAAAGGAAAAGGTATAACTTAATCCCCTAATTTAAGACACTAATAATCGATTGTATATAAATTGTAAGCAAATCTTATTTAGAGCGGGTAATTTTCAAAATTGAAATAATTTTGGTAATAAAGTTTCATATAGTGTATAGGAAAGAAAAAATCCCAATCTTTGATAAGGGGCAAATCGATTAGATGTTTATAGGCCCAATCAGTAATGTGATTCCTCTTAATAAAAGTCGATGGGCACCCAATAATTTTCTGGCCCATTATTCTAGCCTATGGCTTATAACTAAGCCCAAAAGTCCAGCAGCACTTGCTCAAAGAGAACTAGGGTTTTGCAGCATTATAGCCTCAGCTTCCCCTTCTCCCAAACCCCTCACTCCTCGTCCAAAAGCAGCTGCAACATTTCCTTCCCAACATGGCTGTCGGGTATCTCTCGCCCACTCCACTTTTTTCTAACTCTTATGTCATATTACTGATTTATTTCTATCTTTTTGTTTTTCTTTCGATTCTGATGTTACATTCTTGTGCAGTAAGAACAAGAGGATTTCAAAGGGAAAGAAAGGAGGAAAGAAGAAGGCGTAAGTTTTTATCCCTTTGATTATTTCTGTTTTAGTTTTTGTGTGTAAATGTAGACGTACTAAATTGGTGTGGTGAAAATGTGGGCAGCGCGGATCCGTACGCAAAGAAGGACTGGTATGACATAAAGGCACCATCAGTATTTGATATCAAGAACGTTGGCAAGACCCTGGTCACTAGGACTCAGGGTACTAAGGTCTTATTCTCTTCCTCATTTTCTACTTCTTTTTTCTCTTCTGTTATTCTGTTAAGCTTATGCCTGTTGCTTTTGGTTTTGGATTATTTTGGTTATCACTTATAGTAGTTCTGGACTAGTTCATCTCTATACTTGTTTTAGGAGCCTCTTTCTGTTATTTCTTTAGATGCATATGTGACCATGCTAGGAGAGATAAGATTAAGAACGAAGATATACGGGGCAAGGTGGGAGTGAGTAAGATGGTTAGGACATGTGAAGAGGAGCTCATATGCCCCAATGAGGAGGTGCGGTGGGTTGACAATGATAGGTCTAAGTAGAGTCATAGGTAGACCAAGGAAGAATAGGGAGATGTGATTAGATAGGACATGACACATCTTTAGTTTGCGGGGAAATGACCCTAGTGAGGAGAGCATGGAGGTCGAGGTTTAGGGTAGAAGTTAGTAGGTAGTCGAAAGATTTATCTTTTTTTTTGTGTGGGAGAGCGTGGTTCTACTTTTGAGCATTTATCTGCTCCCTTTTTGCCTTATTATTATTATTATTATTATTATTATTATTATTATTATCATTATCATTATCATTATCATCATTATCATCTTATTCTTCAATTTTATTACTGTTGTTTACAAAAATCTGTCCCATGGTCCTTTCTTTTTTTTTTCTTCTCAATTTTTTTTATTCCTGCTGTTTCTTTTATTTTGGTTATCTTTACTATTTTTGATAGACAACATTTTTTTCTTCTTCAGTATTTTCATCTTAGTTTTTTCTTTACTCTTGTATTTTTCAAACCTGATTTGAAAATGCTTTTCTTGAACTGGGGCCTATCGAAAACAACTTCTCTACTTCACACAAGGTAGGGGTGAGGTTTGCGTATACCCCACCCTCCCTAGACTCCATTCGTCGGATCACATTGGGTATTTTGTTGTTGTTATGACGTACAAGGATTATTATATATCTAGGAATGTGATTAATTAATATAAAACAAACTTGAGTGGAGTTTCTAGGCTGCAAACTGGTGTAATTTGGTTGTGAAATGTGGGCGAACCCATATCTATATGAGCTTCATTTGGATATATGTGCTACATTTGGACAAAAGTAGAGGGTTGTTCCTAGAAAAAAATAAAGGAAGAGGGCTGTCGTCGGTTCATTATCAACTAAAACTAGTCAATTTATGACGAGACCTCTGTTGAATGTGTTAGGACGCAGTATTGGAAGGAAACAATGTCTAAATCAGTGTCTCATTAAAGGTACCCTTAAGGCCCAGTCCATGAAGCTTAGTGTAGGACAGGGCGGGTTATTCAGCTTTATAGGCCCCTTAGAGCGTATATCTTTAAGAGTGGCACACTAGACAAAATGTAGTTGAGAATTCTATGTGTTGATTGTTAAGAAAGCTTTATTAATGAGTATATAGGTGATTAGGAATGAGAAATTATAAGTTTCAAAACAAGTCACTGAATATGTACTAGAAACCTAGAACTGTTTTTCTTTCATTCAGTGGAATTTTACTATGGCTCTTAATCTTGATTAATATGCGTTTTCTACTTCATAAATTGCAGTAGTTTTTTAATGCCTTTGTCAACATAATTGTTGTTTGTCTTTATACTATTTATCTATTGATCCATGCACCCCCACGTGTTAATTGCTCCTTATGCTTAAAGCGTCAAAAGACCATTGGCTTTGACCATTTTGAGGCTCCAAATGATGATATTGACGGTTTATGTAATATACTTGCACACCAACTATCTTGAAAATGAGGCATAGGCATAGTAGTAGTTTGCTATAGAACATATGTTGTGGGATGCTAATTTTTCGCCCCACCTTTGATTTAATTAATCTGTATTTTAACTGTTCCAGGTAATTTGTAGTCTAGATTGTTTGGATGACTTTTAACTCCTGAAACCCCCTCTTCATAACTTATGTGTTTTGCCTATTATGGTCTGATCATCCCATGTTATGGTGGAACTTTTCATCTTTTAAATATAGATGTATATGAATGTAAGTGCAGTTTCACTTAAACAAGTGCATTTATCCTTGTGCCTCCAGATTGCTTCGGAAGGACTGAAACACAGAGTATTTGAAGTCAGTTTGGCTGATCTTCAGAAGGATGAGGATCAATCTTTCAGGAAGATCCGCTTGAGGGCAGAAGATGTGCAAGGGAAGAATGTCCTCACAAACTTCTGGGTAAGATGAGATCCGTTTTAGGCAATCATTTCTTCATGACTGTAGAATAGACTTTTCTTTTATGGACTGAATTTTAACCTTGCTGTTGAGTGACTTCAGGGAATGGATTTCACAACAGACAAGCTGAGGTCTCTGGTAAAGAAGTGGCAGACATTGATTGAGGCTCATGTGGATGTCAAAACTACAGATAGCTACACTCTCAGGATGTTCTGCATTGCTTTTACAAAGAAACGTCCAAACCAGCAGAAGCGGACATGTTATGCTCAGAGCAGCCAGATCCGCCAGGTTTGTGGTACTTCTACTTGATCTCACTTATTTAATATTATCTTGCAAGTTCACTTTCAGTTACTTATTGACATGTTTGTCTTATTGTGTTAGATCCGTCGGAAAATGGTTGAGATCATGAGAAACCAAGCAAGTTCCTGTGACCTGAAGGAGTTGGTCGCAAAATTCATCCCTGAGTCAATTGGTAGAGAGATTGAGAAAGCGACTTCAAGCATCTTCCCACTGCAAAATGTTTATATTCGCAAAGTGAAGATCCTTAAGGCCCCAAAATTTGATATTGGCAAGCTGATGGAGGTAAGTTCGCATTGTTTTCAGTTTCCGTTCATGACATTGACCACCAAGCGTGGATAGTTCAAAATTTACAATTAGATTATTCAAGTAACATCTGTTTTTTAACCTAATAATGAGTCTTCTTTTTACAGGTTCATGGTGACTATTCAGAAGATGTTGGCGTGAAGTTGGATCGACCAGCTGATGAGACTGTTGCTGAGGCAGAACCCGAGATTCCTGGAGCTTAGACTTGTTTGATTTGGATTCAGTTTGAATATGGTGCTTGTCTTCTTATGAATTTGTTTTAGTTGAGGTGTCAAAGGCGCGACCTAACAAAATATTGGATATCTTTCTTTTGTTACGTTTAATGTTAAAACATTCACCAGAAATTAAGATATCGTTTTTATGCTAAGAAATCTTTGAATACTTTATTAGGACATACATTCTTATGCATACTAGTGATATTGAAGCCTAATGATGGTTTTCTATCAAAACGGGCTCCGAGTCTTCAACAAGGCTGATAAAGGAACAACTGCAGGCTATGATATATTTGTGTTGCTGAGATTGTGAGGCTGCAGGAACTGCTATAACTGATGATAGGATTTGAGGGATTAGAGATTAATATGCAGTGTCACAATGCAAAGCCACCTAGTGAATACAGAACAAAATATCTACGAATGTTAATTTTTTAAATTGAGAAAATTGGCTACAAGAGCCAAGCAAGCCCAAGAGCAGCAGCGAATAGTGGCTGCTTTTGTTTTCATTGCACTTGGTTCAGCGTCTAGGAACAACAACAACAATAATTACCCAGTAAAATCTCACCAAGTGGGGGTCTGGAGAGGGTAATGTGTACGCAGACCTTACCCCTAGGGCAGCGTCCAGAAAAGGTTTCCTTATTTATGTTGCAAGATTTAGTAACACTTGTATCACTACAAGAATAGGGATTTTAAAGCAAATGCACCACCTGCAAGGATTCATTAAAGATTTATCACTTTTCCAAATCAATCTTAAGCGAAGAATTTCGAATTACCTTCTCTCTCATCACAAAGCCATATTTCAGAAAAGGAATGATGATTTATCCAAAAGCCAAGAACTGTAGAATTCACGTATCAGCTGATCTGACGTGAGATCGTCAAATTCAACGTGATATCCTCACGATGAATTGATCAAATACATACAAGGGAGCTTAGCATAGGAGACACATGAAAAAAATAATATACATTTTAAAATGTTAATGAAACAAATATATTTAAAACAGCAACAACAGCAACAACAAACCCAGTGTAATTCTACAAGCGGGGTCTGGGGAGTGTAATATGTACGCAGAATGTAATTCTACAAGTGGGGTCTGTGAAATGTAATATGTACGCAAAGTCGCAGACCTTAGCCCTACCTTCAAGAAAGCAGATAGGCTGTTTCGGTTGACCCTCGGCTTGGGAAAGAATTTAAAACGATAGATAAACGATTTAAATCATTAGTAATAATAATGAAGGAATACATTTTAACATGTTAGTCAAAGTTAATTTAATTTGACGGAGCAAAAAATGTTGGAACATAATATTTGTGATAGACCTATTAATCCAAGTGAAGCCATTACTTTCCTTTTTATATTGTCCACCTTTATATTCTTCAAGGATCAAACTGGAAGCAGTCTCATGTAGGGCTGTGCATAATTTGGTAAATACCGAATTACTGTACCAAAATCGAAAATTTTGGTATTTGGTATTCGATATTTTGGTATTCGATATGGTATTTGGTTTAAGTTTTAAAAAATATTGGTATTAGGTATGGTTTTGGTATTTTAAAATGAAATAACGAAATACCGATACCGTACCGAAATATATATTATATTACACAATACACATATTATTAATTATAACATAAATATAAAAATTTAAAATTTTACTTTACGTTATTCTCTAAATTCATCAATTAACTCTAAGTAACTAACAAGACATTTTTAATGATCAACGTTATTTTTTTATGTATAGTTTTCTCTCTCTGGGTCGATATTTGCTAGTTTTGGACAACACTTTTGTCAATAAATATTTTTTGTTTGTACTTTTGAGTACTTTAATTTAGAATATTACCGTCTATGACTCTATGCACTAGTTAATATTCAAACCGAATAAATCGAAGTTACCAAACTGAATAAACCGAAATCGAAAGGAGAAAAACCGAACCATACCGAATTTAATTAGGTACGGCATTGGTATTGCATTTTAAGAAACTGAATACCGAACCGAAATGTCTAAATACCGTACTGTATCGACTAACGAACACCCTCTCACGATATCAATCCAAATAACCTCCCAACTATGGAAGGAGTAATACGTTACTGTCTTTCAAACTTTAAGGACCTATTTACAATTTGCAAGAACTATGGGGTGCAGACAGTGATACCCCTTACTTAATTCGTGGGTACAAAGTGTATAACTTTCCAAGAAGAGGCTTCAGAGGATCCTCTTGCAGGCAGCAATGGAAGCTGAGAAGAGGGTTGCGTCCAGCAAGAAAGCCGAAAATAACAGAGACAAGAAGATGACGAGAAAAGAGGTAACATGGATCAACGTCTGCCCATTTTTCCCAAACACATCAATTTTTGAAAACCTAAAAAATACAAAGCAGTTTATTAACAGTTCAACATACTCTTTTTTGTTTTATGAAGGCAGATACTGGAAAAGAAGAAAAAAGTGGAAGACATAATCAAAGCTGCTGTTTCTAAGAAAGACCCTCTTTCTTCATTTCCATCTTTTCACCATTACAACACAAAGGGTTCGCATTTTTTGTATTTTAATTATATCTATTGATACTGTATTATTTTGGCGAATTAAGAATGTCATAATTCCCTATTAAATGCTTTCTCTCTTTTTTTTTTTTTTTTTTTTCCTTGTGTTGGGGTTGGGGGGGGGGGGGGACCGTACCATTGCAATCTTTTACATAAAATTTTACTCCATCAATTAATGATGGTTAAGTGAGTATGTATTTGCACATGATACTAATCTAAGAAACATAATTTTTTTGAATGTTTATGAACTTATATTTGCACTCTATACATATATATAGTATCATCAAATGTCTAAAATATGTGAAAAATAATGAATTTCATGTATTAAATAAAGCATTTTTAAATTCATAATTCTTGATCAAGGCCAGGAAAACTATGTAATTATAGTCTGTTATAGTTGTTCACTGTTATACTCTATTCAGTTTTCGTATGTGTAATGTATAGTTGATTTTGATCACTAGATTTGTCTGTGTACTTGGATTCTGGACGCGGAGATAACCTCTCTTCTTCTGTAAAGCAGTATATTCAAAACCTCCTCAAGGTATCAAACTTGGCTATCTTATTATATTCGAGTTTAGCTACAACAACAAATCAGTGATGATAGGGATATTTCCTCTTTTCTGAAGGTATATGCCTTTTACAGGTGAATATGGAGGGGGCATATGGAACAGAATGGCCTAAAGAAGAGAAAGTAAAGCGCAGGGAGATGGTTTCTTCTGAAGCTCGTTATATATTTGTCTATGAAACCGTAAATGCGGATGCCAACATTATGTTCAAATTATCAAAGAAAGGAAGGAGTAATGCAGACGGTACGGATGATAAGGGTCATCTTGTGGCTTTTGTACATTATCGCTTCAGCATCGAGGAAGAAATTCCTGTTCTTTATGTGTATGAATTACAGCTTGAGCATCATGTTCAGGGGAAGGGGCTGGGAAAGTACTTAATGTTGCTAATTGAGCTGATTGCTCAGAAGGTGATGGACTAATCTTTCCTCATTCCCATGTATCATAAATGTTTGTTGTTTCAGTTTGATTCCTAAAATTATGGTGGTGGAGAAGCTAATACTATATTAATTTGAAGATACTTAGTCACAGCACTGCTGAAAATTTCTGCAGTATGTTTCTTCACTCATGGAGATACTTGTCTTGCAGTAGAGTGGACATTTTCAAGTGCTAACGAAAGCTATCACTTTGCAGAGCAAAATGAGTGCCGTGGTGCTAACTGTTCAGAAGGCAAACATGACGGCAATGAGCTTTTATAGGAATAAGCTAAGGTGATGTATTAATATGTTAGATTAGCATTTTATTTCCATTTAGCAGATGCCATTTACATGATGATGGTATTGAAATATCAATACATGAAGCAACAAACTTATAATAACCTTAGGTAGCTACACTGTGAGTATAAGTAAATCATACTTTTTTACTTTTATAGAAAACTATAGTATTCATCATCTTTTTTTATGCATCGCATGTACCAATAATCAAATTTTCTAACTGTCATCCGGAATCAATATTTATCATTAAGTGGTTCCATATGTAAGATTCGCCAAAAGATATATCCTCTTTAATCGAACTTTGCTTGTCATATCTTGGCAAAAGATGTGGGGTATCATGCTAAAGAGGAAGACGCTAACAGAAAAATTCTTGAAGTTTCAGGAGATTTCTGTATCTTTGACTCTTGCTTGTTGGAATGAACATATAAATATACAACAAAATTATTTTACGGTTAACTATTCCAAACTGATGTATTGGACATGCTTATATGTGTTTGGCAAAATACATAAGTTACCCCCCGAACTATGACCCAAATCCCTGTTACACACTTTCTAGGAACGGATATTACTTTACACACCCAACCTTTCCAAAGTGTATCTAATACACACTACTTTGCCCACGTGGATAGTGCGTGTTTTTCCCAACAAATGAGTCGCGTGAACAGAAGAATTTTGTGTCAGATGTCAATTTTTTTTTTAAAAAAAAAAATTTTAAATTGAGTCATCTTCTTCCTTTTTTAAAATTCTGCCATAGCTACTCCTTGAGCTCCACCACCCGATCTCCTTCTTCTCAAATAGACATACCACGATTTCTCATATCTCTTCTTGTTGCAGAGAAGCTTAACTTGAGCTTTACCCATGGCGAAGTCGAATTTTCCGAAATTTTTTCCAACCATTAAAGCTTAGCTCAAGCTTTTGCACATTCTTTAATTTTATTAATGGCTGATTTTTTAAATAGCTGACTTGCGGTGATGGCAGTTAATGGCGGTCGAACTTTTACAGGAGTGAAATGGAAAATGAGTTGGATCTGGGCTCAAAAATTTTGATTCAATTTCAGCGGAAAAGATGGAGTTTTGGGTGTGTTTTCTGGTGATTTTTGTTAGTTAATGGTGGCTTTGTTATTAAGTAAAAGGTAGAGGAAGAAGCTATAGTATTTGATGGTGAGAGAGGAGGAAGACGGCCATGGTAGTTTAGATGAGGAAGATGAGGGGTATAATTATAATTTAATTATTTTATTTTTTAAATGACACGTGTCACTGTTTGATTGGTGCGTGATATTACACATATTCTGAAAAACTTGTGAAGAAAAAAGTGGTGTGTCTTAGTCTCTTAGATACATTTTGGAAAGGTTGGGTGTGTAAAGTAATATTCGTTCGGGTGGCAACTTATGTATTTTGCCTATGTGTTTTGGATGACTCAACAAGTCAAATATACCAATGGCCTGTTACATAATCCACTCCATTTTCTCTTCCTCTCATTATTAGATAAGAGATGCTTATCTCTAACCTGAAATATACCTATGCCCTGTTACCATAACTCTTGTACGTCAATGTTCTGCAGGTACCTGATATCTACCATGTCACCTTCACAGGTAGTTCAACTGTCTGCAATAATTCTGTTTTCATCACAATTTGCTTAAGCTTTATTCTTCTTGTTTGGTACTGCAGATGGGGTTACAGTCAAATTATGAGATTCTTTGCAAGTCATTTGGTTATGAAGCTAAAGTTGTATTAGAGGTGTGCAATCCCTTTTTCCTTGTATTAAATATCAAACCAAAGAGGACTCAAATAAGATTGACATCTCATATGCACTCAAAATTCTCCAAGAACTCATGCATTTTACTGTATCAACTGGTAATGCATAAATTCTATTATAGGAGTATTATGCCAAAATTTTCTAAAATGTTGTTGCTTCATTTAATCAGTTACTAGGCACTCATGTGGATTAAATCTGAATACATGTAAAACTACTGAATGACGCAGATGAAATTTCCCAAATGGAACAAACTACAGTCTATGTTATGGCCAAGGTTCCAGTTCTGTAATTTCTTTTTGGTTCAATGATCGAAGATTTTCTTTTTCTCTCTTGGTGATGTTGTTATGTCATATGTATGGCCACTGGTCAATTTCCATGAAATGCACAGTGTTCTCTTAGTGGATAGATGAAGTGCACAATCATTTAGGATTATAAGCGCATTTTCCTGACAAATTATCTTTTTCTTTTCTCTAAAATATCTGTCCATTGAAGGGTGAAGATAACTGCGTACAAGGTGATTCAAAATACCGTCCTGCAAAGCATCTTACAAAGTTCTAGCATGTCAGCTTGACGATAATGAAACCTGTGAAGAGGTAGCATAATGTGAATTATTATGTAATAGAAATTGCAAAGCGTATGATTGCTGAAGTAGCTTTATGTTCTAGTTCTCTTGTTAGTCTCAGATGATAATTGATTATTAGGCCTTAAGCATTTTTCAGTAAATTATTCGGTGTATTCGCCGAGCATCACAACTTGTGCTATTTATTCTCCATCAGGACCATCACTGTCTTTATGTTCTTTATATATGCTTGCCTTTTGCTGTTTCCATGCATTGTGATACTTTACTTTAAAGCTTTTCCAGTATAGTCCACATCTGGGGCCAAATAGCGCATGGAGCATAAAAAGCCTCCATTGAATTCCAAAAAGAGACCTTTTCCTTTCCTATACCATATATGAAACTTTATTACAAAAAATGTGCATAGTTTCATATATACCCGCTATGTTCACAGTTATTCTACAAAATATATACCATTCATTAAATACCAATTATTAGGAGCTGATTCCTTCCTAGTTAGGCGCGCTACAAATCTGGAACTAAATATTCTTCCAGATATTCCTATTTAGGCGCGCTACAATTATGGAAGTAAATATTCTTCCAGATATTTTCCACCATTGACAGCCATTAAAAAGCTTGAAAGCTTTGAATTCAAATTTGGGTTTTCAAAAATCATTATTTGTTTGGATTGGGTGTTGTTGAAAATAATCGGGAATATGGTTTGGAGTTTATATCTCAATTTTGAGGGGTTTTGGTGAAGATTAGACTTGGTTTTGACTGTAATTTCAGTATTTAAACTCGAAGAAGAAGAAGAAGAAGACAGACATATTGNTTTAAACTCGAAGAAGAAGAAGAAGAAGACATATTGCAGAAATTGTAGATAAATTGTAGATTATTTGTATTCTAATTGTAGATGCTTTATTTTCTGATACAAATAAAAAACGGCTAAAACTTCTACAAATCTTCTGAAAAAACGCAATTATATCAAAAATCACAATTATGCTACAATTGAATGAGAATTGGGATATAAAAATTCAATGTACTAAGTTTGTAGATATTTTGTAGATTATTTGTATTCTAATTGTAGATGCTTTGTTTTCTGTTTTCACAAATCAAAAGCGACTAAAACTTTTACAAATCTTTTGCAAAAAACGCAATTATGTCGAAAATCCCAATTAAACTACAATCGAATGGGAATTGGGATATTAAAATTCAATATACCCAGTTTGTAGATATTTTGTAGATGAATTGTAGATTATTTGTATTCTGATTGTAGATGCATTGTTTTCTGTTTTCACAAATCCAAAATGACTAAAACTTCTACAGAATCTTCTGCAAAAAAAGCAATTATATCGAAAATACCAATGATGTAGTTGAAGCTGTGATCATGAAAGATCGGACCACTGGTCGTGCTCGTGGTTTTGGCTTTGTTGTATTTGCAGATCCTTCAATTGCTGAAAAAGTTGTTAAGGAAAAACATATGATTGATGGACGAACTGTAAGTAACCTTAGAAATTTCTGGACTGCATCCTATACAGTGTTCTTTGTGGTATTTTTATGGAAATTCTATGTCAAATTTTTAAGCAAATCCAAGCACTTAGGAAGTATGTCTAATTCTTCCTGTGATATGCACCTTAGGCCGCCGCCAAAAAGATCATCAAATCCCAAAACATACCCATCAGTAAAGTCATTAAGCTCTCGCAGCTTAAAACGTGGGAGGAGTGGGATATACGGTACCTTGAATTAAGGAGGGATATATGTTGCATTAATTGTACCCTTAAAATACACTATGATATAAAATTGGTAATTTGGTATACTAAATGTAATTATATCAAACCTTAAACATTGAGGGTAATAAGGTTTCTTATATGGTATAGGAATGTAAAAATTCCTAATAAAAATATAATAAGCCTTTTCAAGGAATACTATAATTACGTTTGTGCAAAAAATATGGAGTAATAACAAAGAGACATCCAGAGGAGTAGAGGCCGTAGTTCGAATCGCAATGTCAAAATTCAAATGTCAGTGGCTCCATTGACAAATGCAGATGTAAAGTAAACCTAGCTAGTGACTAGTGTAGATGCATCCACTATCTCCGACTCAACCCACTATCTCCGACTCAAGTTGTATGTATAGTTAGATGCATGAAGCCGAATTTATTGTCACAAAAAAGTAGCCCCTGTGATGGTGTGCATTCACTGGACTAAAATCTTTGATTTGCCTGAGCTAATTTCTACTACCATATCAACTATATATATATATATATATATATATATATATATATATATATACGGATATTATGAAAGCACGCTTTATTTTCAAGATTACAAATTTTAGCTTTTATGAAGGGTTACATGTAGATAACTTTGAGTGACTTGATATTATAAAATACTTTATCATTCTATATAAGTTAAACTCTAAGTATTACTTAACTATTAAAAAAAGATTTAAGGGAGAAAAAGTCAACCGCATCAATATAATTCAACGCATACCAAGAGGCAGGGGCATCCGAAAAATATCAAATGAAAGGAGAGCCACGGGCGCCCTTAATTTTTTTCATAAAATAAGTAGGAGCCAAATATGGTCCAAAAGCCACGCTAAAGGAAAAGTAATTAAGGACAGCCAGCCCTTGAATTCTTTGATTCTCCTTCCTTGTAGGAAACTTAATTAACGGTCCTTGTTTTCCTCCTCCACCTTCAAAAACACTTTTGTATTATATCAATTTTCTTCTTCTTGATCTCCATTCCATTATTTACTCAATACACACAACAAGTGTGTTGAACTTCTCTATCTTACCTTACTACAATGGACTACACACATAACTCTTCCCGGAAACCTTTGATCCCCACTTTTCTTTATAACACGGCTTCTTCTTCTTCTTCTTCTTCTTCACCATTCTCTGTATACAGAAATGTGGTAACTGACTTGGATACATCATCATCAGCGATGGCGAAGAAGCCTTTTGTGGTTCCGGCACCAAAGGAGTCTTCAGGTAAGATAGAGATGTTCTCACCTGGTTATTACGCTGCTTGTACTTTTGGAGGTGTTATGAGCTGTGGTCTCACCCACATGGCCGTCACCCCCCTCGATCTTGTCAAGTGCAACATGCAGGTACTTTTTTCTACCGTATAATATGACCATTTCCTTTACTTAGATGTAGAATCAGTGAGTCTAAAATGAGTGCAATCTTGACATACATATACACTTTAAAATATTTTTGCACATGTATTTATGGCCGAGCCAAAAGCAATGAGTTCTGTTGACCCACCGAACCTATCCTACATCCGCTCTACCTCTCTGCCCTTGTTTTAGGCGATGATGCTTAATTTTACCCCTATGTTGAAGATCAAGATCACGAGAAATAAGGTTTTTGAGTTGTATATGATTCTTCAAGAACTATCTAAGAACGTGAAGAATATTAAATTATCAATTTTTTATTAAATTGCTGATTGTTAATTTGAATTATTGGATGACACTTAATTATGTAGATGGTCTGAGGTGAATCTAGAACGGGTTTTATATATGTGTGTGCGCGCTCAGAGGTGGATCCAACATTTAAATCCTATGGGTTCAACTTTCAAGGTTTTTAACATTGAACCCCTTATGTTTTTAAAGTTATGGGTTCATATCTACTATTTTTGCAATTTTAATGAATTTTTATATATAAATTTTTACTCCGCATCCAGTGTTACTTGTGTGTGCTTGCACAAAAAAAAAAGGTTTTAAAAATGTATAATATGGTATATGAACCCACAAAATTTAAACTGTAGATTTGCCTATGTAGACAACGGTAAATGTCACAGCACAAATCTGTTGTATTTTCCTTATATTAATATAAGAGTACTGTTTTATACCATTCTGTAAATTCCTTTGTAACAGTTTATGTTGCTTTTATTACTGTTCTTTTTGGTTATTGATGTACTTATTATTGTTGTTTGAATTGCTAGATTGATCCTGCAAAGTACAAGAGCATTTCCTCTGGTTTTGGTGTTCTGCTCAAAGAGCAGGGTGTTAGAGGCTTCTTTAGGGGTTGGGTTCCGACGCTGATTGGTTACAGTGCTCAGGGAGCTTGCAAATATGGATTCTATGAATATTTCAAGAAGTATTACTCAGATCTTGCCGGCCCTGAGAATGCTGTCAAGTACAAGACTTTGATATACCTTGCTGGTTCTGCATCTGCTGAGGTTATTGCTGATGTTGCTCTCTGCCCTTTCGAGGCTGTCAAAGTTCGCGTCCAAACTCAGCCTGGTTTTGCCCGTGGCTTGTCTGATGGGCTTCCTAAATTTGTTAAGGCTGAAGGAGCTGCAGGGTAATGCCTGTTATGTCGATGAATTCATCGTTGTTTTACTGCATGTTACTAATGGAAATTTGGCTGTTGAATTTTATGTATACAGGTTATACAAGGGGCTTGCTCCTCTCTGGGGAAGACAGATACCATGTAAGTTTACATATCTTCTTTTCTCCAATTTATTTGGAAGAACTCAAGCTTTATACACACACACACACACACTCAAAGCTGAATCAACCACTACTTAATTTGAGTTCTACTGATTCACTCTTTCTTTCCCCTTTAGCTGTTTTTGAACATTTTATTCAGCTATTTTAAGTTCATATCTTGCATAGTATGTTCAGACATACCAACTTTAACAATCACGCTCTGTGATTTTAAAACTTTGTTTTCTAGGAAGTAATTACGTTATTTGTCTAATATCCTGTTTCTATTGCAATTATATAATCTTTGCCTAGACATTCTACCTCACATGGAATTATTGTACAGACACGATGATGAAGTTTGCATCATTTGAAACCATTGTGGAACAACTGTACAAACATGTCATCCCAACACCAAAAGAGCAGTGCAGTAAATCTACGCAGCTTGGTGTGAGCTTTGCTGGTGGATATTTAGCTGGTATTCTTTGTGCTATTGTGTCACACCCTGCTGACAACCTCGTTTCTTTCCTCAACAATGCTAAGGGGGCAACTGTCGGCGATGTGAGTAGACACAGATTAATTGGTTGCATCCTTTAAGGTTATTTGTTCACATATAACTCTAGATTATATTGTTCATTTTTTGCAGGCTGTGAACAAGCTAGGCGTAATGGGTCTTTGTACTCGCGGTCTTCCTCTTCGTATAGTCATGATTGGTACACTCACTGGAGCACAATGGGGCATCTATGACTCTTTCAAAGTTTTTGTTGGCCTGTGAGTTTCTCCTTCTTTTCTTTTCTTTTCTTTTCAGTTGTCTAATATTATGTTTGTTCGATACGACCAAAGTCAAAGAAAATGACGTTCCCCATTTATGGGCAGAAGTCATTTCTTATGACTATCTTAATTTTTAGCTTCGTATTACTCGCTTCAACTAACACGTATCCATTATCACTAATCTTTAGTACTCAAGAATTTCATCAAAGCATTCCCTCATTTGCTAAATCATTACTAACATCTAACATATATTCTTTTCTTTTTTCAAATTATATTTTTTCGTTCACCAACTAAACTTTTGAAAGCATTTTCTGTGGAAATATTTTTCATGGACAATAACTTTCGTCGTACCAAACACACGTCATCTTTTCTCAAAATCATCCGCCAACTTCTGTATTTCCTAGCTTATTCCTTTCTAATATGAGAAATTTCCATACCATAATCAGATAAATGAATATCTTATGATTAGTTACGTTGTAATTAATTTCTTGAAATGATGTATACACCCATTGCTCTTGCAGGCCAACGACCGGTGGTGCAGCTCCACCTGCCCCTGCCAAGTGAAGAGGAAAATGTGAAATAATTTATGATGAAAATTCTTCTCCAGTACTCAATATCTCTTTCATTTACTGGCAGAGGGGAAATGGAAATGTTTTTCCATCTAAAATTTTGTTTGAACAGTGTAGGAAATTTTTTGCATTAATTCAAGCTTTGCAGTAAGATCTGATATTTTGTTGGGAGGATGAATTATCCTCAAGATGGCTGGTTATTGAAGAAGCATTTATGTCTTGAAAATTTGAGCGTAATTCGTAAAAATGCTAAACTTCTGATATCAGTAATATCCACAACCACAAGAGACACCTCTAGAAAGTTGCATATATGGGAAAACTTTGCGCTAGATTTTATGGAACGGACAATGATGGGCTTTGTGCATGGTTTATTCGGACGATTTGCACCAGTAGCCGCTTGAAGCTATTGGTAATTTGTTTGTATTAAAGTAAACCACTATTTGTGTTTACCCTAAAAATTGGATAACAGTTAAACTTATAATGTGGTTTTAAGGACACGTGATTTCACCTAATATCAATTGATGAATACGAAAATTAGTAGCAGAAATTAACAATAAAATTAAGCAAACTAGTGTTTGAACGGAGTTCAGCCCTCGAGTTGAATACCCTCGAACTGATCGATGCACGAATAGTTAAAAATATAGCAATCTGCTGAGCAAAGATATAAGCCATAAAGTATTGTATTGCTTTGATATGCGTGAATGTAAGGTGTTTACAAAATGATCAAAACCATCTATATATAGTAGAGGGTCCTATCTATGGTACAATTCTTATTACGGAAGTAAATCCCATGATTAGCCTGAATAGTCGCCCTTGATTTGATATGTTCCGGAATTTTTGCCATGATCTTCTACCGGTCACGGATATCCCTCTTTTCCGTTATTGCGCTTTGCTCGAAGTCTGCCATATTTGGTCTCGATCGTTGCTAGCCTCGATCTCGACTGGCACCTCGATCCCCGAACTAGATACCCTGTTTTTCGTGCTCTGGTCTGATCCACCACGAGGCTGGCCTTCAATGCAATTCCCTGGCCTCGATCAAATAGTAAAATTGGGTAGCCCCGATTTTAACCGTATACAGATAGTCCCCTCGTTTCTTGAAGTGTAATGAGAAGAAACGAACTGAGCCTTCGATTTTATACTTCGACTTGTCGTGACGTCATCCTCGTGACGCAAGCGACGAAAGTAACTGAAATGTCCCATCGGTTCATATATCGAGGCATTAAATGCCTACCAGTTGCTGTCTCCCATTATTGATTCTGAACCGTCATCTTCATCCTATAAATGTGCTTTCCTTCTCTTTGCCCAAACATTACTATTGATCTATGCTCTAATCTTCAAAACTCTTTACATCTCTTAAGCTTTTCTGTTCTGCACAATCTCTAGGCTTCGTTATCAACTTTCTCTCAAAACACCAAGCTATCCTCTTCTTCTTTCTCTAAACTTACACAAAAATGAAGAAAACGTCAAAAACTGTTCCTCAAAAGGAAAACGTCTCTTCATCGCAGTCGGTCGGTGACAAAACACCGGTGGAGCCGCGCCCTGAGGAGTGCGTTCCCGAGAAGGGGTGTGTCCTTGATTCCGACTTCAAAGTCGAGAAGACTTCGTCGGTCCCCGGTCAGTGCGAGCCTATGTCGAGATATATATGCTCGATAACTCAGAGTGACCTTGAGCAAGTAAAGAAAGACTGCCATTGGGAAGATAAAAAGGTGGTGATTCCGACCCCCGAAGAAGACATTACTACCCATGTGGAAGGGTTTCTAAGTATTTACACTTACCCTTTCACCCTGCGCCCTGTTGATCCCGTCATTATCGATTTTTGCCGCCAATATCAAATAACCCTCAGTCAGATCCATCCTTCTTTTTGGCGGATTGTTATTCTGCTCCGATTCTTCGCGAACAAAGTCGAAGGGATGTCTTTCACCCTCGACCACCTCATCAGGTTGTACAGCCCCCGTCTCTTTCGAGGCGAGTTAATAAAACTCCAATGTCGGGCCACCAAGGTGTTGTTCTCGAGTATAGATGAGGATAAGGATCGAGGGTGGATGGGAAGGTTCGTTCGAGTGAAGACCCCCGACCTAATCCCGACCGGGAAAATGCCATTTCCCGAGGAGTGGAATATGAAGCGTAAGTACAATCCTGCCTTTAGCTTCCATTTATTGTTTTGTTTCCTTTGCTTCTTTTCATCGACATTCCTTTCTGTGATGTAGTTGTCTCTTGGATGCCCGGTGCAATTCCTAACCTCGAGAGCTGGTTTCGGGAATTGGCTTCGACATCCTCGTACGCTCAGCGCTCATGGCGCAATTTGGCAAGGGGCCGATGGGAGGCCAAAAATCATGGTAAGCCCTTTTTCCTATACTTGATGATTTTCGCTAAAATGTTTCTTTTTCATACTTACTTGACTCCCTTTCATATAGGCCTAGGAAAAGACGCTGTCATGAGGCCCCCGTCTAGGGAGGAGGAGGTTTCACCCCCGACCCCGAAGCTGGCGAAGGATAAGAAGAGAAAAAGGGTCTCGACCTCCGAGACTCTAAAGCCCAAGAAGAGTAAGGCTCGTAAGTCGAAGAAAGACACTGCCGTCCTGCCTGTGGATGTAGTTCAGCGACTAAGAGACGAAGAAGAGGAAAATAAAGATGATGGCTTCGAGCTGGTGGCCCGAACAAAGAGGAGCACCGAATCCCCAAAGGCCACTGAGCCGGTGAGGGTCGAAGAGTTTCAGCCTCGAACCGAGGAGATCTCGGAAGAGGGCCCGAGCAAAGTCCCCGAGTAGTCGAAGGCTGAAGATGCCTTTCGCCGAAATGAGCAATCGGTGGGTGTGCCTGAAGGGGCTGGCTCCGAGGCCCTTCAAAATGAAGAGAACGCCCCAAGTGACTTGCTTGGGGCAATAGAAATTGGCGATTCACCGATCCTCCCCACATTTTCTGAGGGGCAAATTCAGGAAGCCTTGGCCATGGGGATCCCCGATGTGGAAAGAGCCCACGAAGGGAAGGACCTTTATGTGGTTGCTTTATGGGAGTCGAAGATGCTATTGACGTGAGTGAGGCATCGAGTCTCTTTGATGAGGCTCAACGACTTCTGAGCCGGGTAAGTCTCAGCTCCCCTTATTGATATTACACTTGTATTTATTTCTTCTTGACTAATTTCCTTTCTTCTACATAGGCCTTGACACTTCATCGGGATGCGTTTTCTAAATCTCGGGCAGAGCTGAGCCGATGCGAGGATGATCTTCAAAGGCTCACGGAGGAGAGAAATTCCCTCAAACATCTCAGCGGGCAAAAAGAAGAGATCAAGGACCTCCGAGCCGAATTAGCCACAGCTCATAAAGAGCAGACCGACCTAATTGAGCGGGTAATGAAAATTTTTAGAAGTTCGATGTATCAATTCGGAGACGACGACTAATACTTCAATCCTGCAGGTTCAGTAGAAGGCTGAAAAGATCAAACAGCTCCGTGAGGAGGCCAATATGATGAGGGCGGAGACTTTGGGGTGGAAACAAAACATGGACCGCCTTGCCTCGGAGAAAGATGCTACTCGAGCCCAACTGTCATTGGCTGAACGTCAGCTCCAAGGCATGAGGGAGGAAAGCTCAGCCCAAGCCAAGAAAATTGAGGAGCTCGAGGCTCGGTTTGCCGCCGAACTTGCAAAGGTTACGTTTGAGGCAGAAAAAGTAAAGGCTGACACGGAGGTGATCAGGGCTGTCTACTGAGCAGATGCTGAAGCTGCTCAAGCTCGAGCAAAGGAAGTTGCTGATACCGCTCAAACTCAAGCATACTGGACTGCCGAGCATGTCAATTACCGGTCTCGAAGAGAGACTCTTATGGAGATTCATGCTCGTGGATTTAACCTTACTATCGAGATCGAGAAACACGAAAGAGCTCGAGTCCCAAGCCAAAGCATTGCTCTCTTTCGTTGATGATGATTCCGGGAGCGTGAGTGGATCTGAGAGCGGAGGGGATTCCGATGGCGAAGGTGTAGCTCCCGAGGAAAATTAGGCACTTAGAATTTTTTGTGTAGGATCCTGATCTATCCATGTAAATATTTTCATATATATAAAAGATCTCTTTTCCCTTTGATTTGTCTTTATTTCAATTTCTGCCTTGTGAAAATTTTGTTTCGTTCATGCCTTGTTCATGAGTACAAGGCTTAGGCAATTTGGTCGAAGTGGGACTAATGTAGTCTTTATAATCGAGTGAGTACTTGTTCGAACTCGAAATAGGATGACCCTTAGGTTTTGGTTCAGTGAGGTTGACTTCTCGAACTCAAAAATAAAATGGCCCTTAGGCTTTTGAATTAGGCCGATATGGCCTTAAAAGAATGGCTTTTTACCCTTTTCGACTTAGAAAGTTAATCATGTAAAAATTTGTTATGCCTTAGCACGAGATGAATTTGTACCCATTAGGTTTTTTGAGGGTTAGTGTTATCGAAACCCTTTGTTTCGTTACGCCTTAGCGTGAAATAAGCTCGTTCGATAGTTCGAACAATTCAGTACCCCTTAGGGTTTTCGAGGGTTGATGTGATCGAAACCCTTTATAAATTTGCCGAGGGTAGCCTTTTAAACCGGCTTTATGAAAATATTTGAAGGCTTATTTTATTACGAAATTCAGACGTCTCCGAACCTTGTTAGTTTGGCTGTAGCCTTTAATTTGAGATTTGCCTCTTGGGCTTGTTTCTCAATTACATTTCGAACTTGTTCGAAATGTCAGTCCCCGAGTGGGGTGGCCGTGGCCTATAAAAACGAGGGTTACCTTTTCAAGGTCTTATGATCTCGAGATTTTAGTAGTTCGATTACATTGATTTTTCGGACGTAGTCCCCGAGTACGGGGTAAGTTGTTCGAACTCCAGTTGTGATCGGTCCTTAAGCCTGTTTCCACTACAGACCAAAAGTAAGAAAATTGTAAAGTAAAATTTTCTCTAAGGCATGAAATATTTGGCAAGGAAAAATACTTTTCTCAATAGATTATACATGCTTACATGTTTGTCTTTAGGGCTCGAGTAATCTACATGGGCACGGTTCATTTGACCGTTTGGCCCTTTCAAAGTTTTACCCATCGAGAACCTATTGACACGAAGTACCTTCCTTGTAACAAAGTTAATATCCGAGGTGATGCCCCCAGTATTCAAGGTTGATTGTAAAGAAGCCCCGGATACTGTTGAATTGCCTGAAGGTAGCACAAATAATGGTTGCCTCGTTAAAAACCTCGCCGGAAAAACCCACTTGGGACAAAAACTGGTCCAAGGGAAAAAGTGTACAACGCGCGCTTTAAAACCTAAGGACTTTGTGTTGGAGCATTCCTCGATGTCTTCGATCGGAC